AGCTAAATTCTCGAAGGACATGTATTTACAGTATATTATGTTAAGGCTATTAATAAAATATTAATAGCCTTAACATAATATACTGTATTACTATACTATTCACTTTAGTACACAGAATTTAAGATGGAGATATATATTTAACTAAACTCTGATAAAGTAAAATATAACAATAATAAAATATTATAATTAAATATTATTTACAATAATTGTAATGTTCAAGAGACAATTGGCAGGGTAGAGAGGCGCACGCCAGTCGTTCTACAAAATAATTAAAAGCAATTACAGTATGTTACATTGCCATTTCCCAGTAGACTCTCAAGACAATCTTTGAACAGATGGGGTAGTTAGTTAATATAAACACATGGAAGGCAATTAAATCAAAAGTTAGACAAACATTGTATTACGTAAGAATTTTACACAAAATGTTTATCATTCCATTTTTTTAATTGTGAACATGCGGCGACAGGCCAAACAGTGGTTTAAAAATACATTCGCTTTGAGCACGTAGCACAGACTGCACACAGACGTCATGAAATATTTAAAAGATAACTTTTAAACCTATATCGCCACGTGTTTCAGTAATAGATATATTAATATTGTCAGATCAAATTAAAATCACAATTTGTCTGTTTTTATCATAAAATAAATAAGAAGTTATATCGGCAACACTTAAATAAAATGTTATCATAATCGGCCTTACTCATAAAAAAATTACGTGGATAATTTAAGAAATTTAAAGTTGCTCTTTCTCTTTCCACTAAATGATAATAGAATATCTCTTTCTATTGTCTAGGTATAGACATATTTAATATTTATTTTAAGTAAGCGATAATCAATGAATATAAGGAAGGCAGTGTGGTGATGTGACTTTATAAATCAGATGTAACGATTTATAAGGGAAAAACAGGAAAAAAGAATAAATTATGTAATCACCTCGAGACCCCTTTTAGTGGAAAAGAGGCATTACATCTTAATCCTCACGGTTGACAAACGAATCTGCATTTTGATTCTTTATTGAGGATAGATGTAGATGTCTACGGGTTGCAGCAACCACTTACTGTCAGGTGGAATGTGTGCTCGTTTGTCACCCTTATCCTATTAAAAAAATTAAACATCATATAATATAATACTCAGCATAACTTCAAAGTATGATTTTCTATGTGAATTTCAAGATGAAACCGTCATGGATTTCATCCGAGTTAGATTTTTATTCCGTTACCTTTACAGTTTATGACAAGACCACTGCTGAATATAGACCTCCCCCATAGAAATTTAGGAAGTTTGTTGAGAAGAAAAAGTCTAACGTTTATCGTCCTATATTATGGCCATTTTTTTAGTTCCTAAAAAGTTTCTCGTTCTCTGTCCTCCCTTTCCTAGTTCCTTCGAAGCTAGAAGCTCGTAAATACACAACTTTCGGGAATACTTCTTCACATATTAAACTTTTTTATTCCGTACAGAGATTTGTGATGATATCGAAAAGCAAAAACTGCGAGACTTTTTGAAATACGTTCGTATTGACATGGAATTATTCATGCTTCTCTAACTTCTATCTATACTTAGATATCTTCAATCAGCCATTAAACAATTTATAACTTCTTCTTGACTTTTTTTCTTTCTCATTTTTTCCAAAATAAAGTTACCTTTATAACTGGAAATGTTTTCAAGAAACTTCAAAAAAACTAGGCGGTTCTCAACTTGGTATTTCTTGTATGTATGTTACCTCAGAACTTTTTTCTAGATGAACCGATTTTGATGATTCTTTTTTTATTTGAAAGCTGGTGTTTCTCATGTGGTTCCATATAAATTTGTTCAAGATCTGACGAGTAGTTTTGAGTTATCCATAATAATGCGTATTTAAGTGACTTCCACTACGTTGAAGATGTTCTCATTTTATTTATATTGAAGTCGGTTGTAGAAAATTGTTAATTTTACCACTTTGTAATTTGTGTGACCTATTCTATGCCTTAAAAGAAAAAGTATATCGCAGATGTTGCTTCAGTTCGAGCTTTCAAATTGGAGGTACAAAGAATTAGGCGCTAATATTTTCATTGAAAACTGTGTTTGACAGATTAACCTTTACAAATAACAATAAAAATATATACATATTGTTAAATTTTGGAGGTTATTCCTTGTTTAAATTTTGAATTTGAAATAAACTGTTTACAGAATACTAATGGTAATGACCTTTTAGACCGGATCTCGGTCTCAATGACAAGTGTCAAAGGAGACTGGTCATTTGCGCGGGACAGAATTATAGCACACGTATGTACGTAAGCAGAGGTGTACTCTCTATTTCCTTACTTTCATAGTCTGATGGGACGGTAATACGACACGTCTTTAGATAAATTATGCGCAGGATTAACGGCTTCATGTGCTGGTATGAGGCAGTGGGTGAAACACCACATACTTTTTGACTCTGGGCTGCTACTGAACATTTCTTAACAAAAATCTCAATAACTGATTTTGGCTCAATTCAGGATTCTAACCTGGGAGCAGATGATCAACAATAGCGCTTACGAATTTTAGTCTAGTGGTAGGTGACTCTTTAGATAAGAAGACTGCAGAGACGCCATTTGCATATTAGGCCAAGTGAAGCTGCAGAGATAGCTGCTAGTAATAGAAATACGTTTATACTAAAGCTGAATTAGGGATGTGTAAATGCATATGAGATTTGCTCAATTTTCCCTATCTCAACATAAACCGAGCGTTACATTTCTGCAGTTACGTGCTTCGCATTGATAATGGCAAAATGAGCTGACACATTCCCGGGGAATAGCAATCAGGGTAGATTTGGTTTTAGTTTTTAAATCTATCTTTGTTACACAAAATTCTTACCAAATCGATTTTGGTTGTCAAATACAAAACGTGCGACTCGGTTCAAAAAAAGGGCAACTGCTAGTCGGACTCGCGCACCGAGGATTCCGAACAAATCCGTAGGTATATAAGTTTAAAATTATTAAAAATATTTTTATTATATGATGTACCTAAAAATTTATGCTTTTCGCAATTTTTTTTATCTGTGCAGAAATGTACAGATAAAGAAAAAACTCAGAATCTTAAAAGTACTCGTACCAACTTTTAAGATTCTGAGTTCACGGGAGGTACTCTGTAGGTTTTGATTCCCTTGCGAATGCCGAAAATTTGCGGCATAAACGGCTGTATCTTTTTGATTGCGTTGGCTTAGAATATTTTCACAGCTCCAAGGGACAGTAGACTTGAGTATTTAATACGAATTTCAGCTCGATACTTCCACGCGTTTCTGAGAAAAAGGGTCTGGACAGACAGACAGACGGACAACAAAGTAATCCTATAAGGGTTCCGTTTTTTTTTTTGAGGTACGGAACCCTAAAAAGTTCTACTTTTAATTATTATACATTTAAAATAATGGAATGTTGACGGTTTCTTTTATAAACGAAGTGACAAACGAATTTACAGTCCATCCGATGGTAAGTGGGTACTGCAGCCCGTGGACAACAGCAAACAATTTCATACAAAGGAGGCTATAGATATGTCATCACCCCTGAGGACTAAGATATACTGCCTCACAGCTTACTCTTACCACTTATATAACAACTTATCTCTCTATACTTTTCATACTGAAACGCAACAATGCAAGCACTCAGAAAGATTCCTACGCAGAAAAAGGGTCATCATACGCAGTATTTGAATCGCCTAGTAATTAGGCATTTCATTTAATAGGTAACCGTTTTGCACAAATCGTTCTTAAAAGCTATAAGGCATGGTACTTCAAAAGGTAATTTCAGATGATTGTTTTCAATAATCTTAGTCAAATAATTGTAGTCAATATATGAATATCTCTACTCTGCGCCATGTGACAACGAGATTTTGTTGGGTTATATTCCATTCAGAACCTACCCCAAAAAGTTCTCTTCTACAAGATATCAACAGCAGCAGCACCGTGTTCTTGATTGAAGATGATTCTATATTATCATCAACAGCCTTCATGTCGATTGCACACGACTTCAGTAGTGTGTGACTGGTGACAGTTCTTTTGGTGACTACAAAGACCGATCTGAGAGCGGCAAGGGCGTTCACATCTTGTGCAGCGAGTGTTGCAACAGATGGGCATTGTCGCTTTCGTACCGCTACAGGTAAAAATAGAATGAAAGCGTAAAATATTATGAAATTTTTTTTGTGTTTCATATAGCTAGCGACGATAGTTGGAAACCCTTTTTGAAATACACCTGCATATTAACTAATAATCGAAGATTGTCTATGGGCTACAGCATCCATTTACTTGTATACAGAGTCGCTTCGAAACTGATTTCTTATCAGTTTTTAAATACAAAACTATAATACTTTATCATAAAAAACCTTCAAAGAATGTACTTAGCCCAAGTCTACTTCTCTAGAGTTTTGGGCTTTGCGTTTACCAATGTATTTTTGTTTTTTATATGCTCTTTATAGTTCTTGAAAGATATTGCGAAACTGCGAAAGTAAAATAGCAAGATGAGGCAAATTTTTAAAAACAGTAGCAGTAGCAAGTGGCGCATAATTGGGGAGTTCTAGATTTGAAAGCCTGAATGTTAATATTACATCGTGTTAGTACGTTAATAGTACATAGTGTAATATATTTTTAATTTTTCTTTCCATTACACTATCATGTAATTTAAGATCTAATGCAAAAAGTCACATTAACAAACATTAAAATTTACCAGTGTAATAAATAACCTTTTTATTTACGACAAAGCATGGGTTTTCTTGATATTTATACGATCATATTATGTATGCATCGTACATGGCGAGTGTGGTCGACTCAAAATTTACGAGTTTTCTGAGCTCAGAACTGGAGATTGGATCTTGTGTTATTTCGGTGATGGTGTCGAAACGACACTGCTCTAAAAATGTCTGTGCGGAAAGCAGGAGAGTAAAATGAGAGGACGGGGTTTGCGCGAACGCTGGTCAGGGAAGGGAAGTGTGGGGTGCGGGGAATCGCCGCCCACGCATTACCCGCCGCACCTTGCCGCCCGCCCAGCGCCAGTCAGCAACTGTGGCTCGTGTTGGCTGAACCATCTTGTAGGGCCATCCTCTTTTTCTTGCCGTAGGTGAGTGGTGATATATATTCCTACTAACTAAAAAAGTAAAAGACTTAAGTGATTATATGTTCAGTGAAGTGGTGCACGTTTTTGGTGCAAAGGAACGTCGGGATCGTGTAGAAGCCACGTGTGTGTAAAATATAAGTCGTGTATACTGGCTTCCTAAATATATCAATGGAAAAAACCGGGTACCAACTTAGGCATTGAGCATTTTCATCTTTTGAAAATTTTCTGACCATATTATAAAATTAATATTTTAAGTGTTTGTTAACAATATATTAGAATTATGAGAATACGTGTAACTTAGATCTATCAAAGGTTAAAATTGTCATAAGTTAAAAATGATGTATGTTTATGTCTTAATCGTTCTTGAAGTTTACAGTGATAAAAACTATTCAAATCACTCAAAATTTATAGAAACGAATAAAGAAAGGGAAAAGTACATAAGTTACGTTTTACATGTCTTGCGTCATAGCTGGAATCCGTGTAACTGAAGCAGGTCGTTCATGAAACCAAATTAGGATATGCGCTAAGCGTTACACGAGTCAAACTATTTCAGTCGTGCGCGCACCTTCCGAATTTTCACGAAGCTCTACGAACATGCACGAAGCTTATTGTATTAGCTTCAATTCATGAAAAATAATTTTTACTGTGTAGTTAATTAATACTTTTGTAAGCAAATCGAAATTTCGGAAAATGGATTGCGTAGTAGCGTAGACGTACTTATAAATATATTTTCGAATTATATTAAGTTTTAAATACATTTCTTATTAAATAGATACGAAAGAGTAAAAATTATAAAAGATAAATAATTAAATGAAGAAATAATAAAATGTCACTCACGGTATCAAATGTCAGTTATTTCACTCACAGATAGCGAATTGGACGCGAGCCAGAAAGTTTCATGTATCACTAATGTTAGTAGATGTTGGCCAAATACGTATCCCTATTATTTTTATTTTTATTTTTTATTGGCCAAATCATTTTGATTGACTCTGTGATTATATTAAAAAAATTGTTCAGAGATTTTAATTTTAGAGACCTTATGATTTTTTAAGACACAAAGGACGATCATTATTTTAGAAAAGGGTTACCTAAAATAGTTATGAATATTTGTGAAATTACAATACATGCCTATATAATGTTACTAGAATTTAGGCCTTGACCTTAAAATTGTCATCGTCATCATTGTAGCCTCAAGTTCACAGCTGAATATGGGCCTCCCCCAAGGAATACCGTAAAGTCACATGCATTCATCGACTCCCCGCATGTATTACCACGTCGTCCCTTCACCTAGTGGAGGCCGCCCTACACTTCGCTCACCGGCACGAGGGTGCCATTCTAGAACTTTGTTCCCCATCGGTTGTTGGTTCTTCGGGCTTATGACCGGCCCATTTGAACATGAGTTTGCTAACCTTGAAATATAAAGAATAAAATCAATAATTGAAAAGAAGACATAGCATATATTTTAATTTTAGATAAGTTACATAATTATACTGTTTTAGTTATTGAAATAAAGTTGTGAAAAATTATTGATAATTTAAACAATTTCCATAATTAAAGATTTTGTTATGATAATTACTTAAATATATTAATTAAAAAAGCGACAACATAGCGATTTTTTTACGAAACTGAGCTGTTTGTGACAAACGAGCTTACAGTGTACCTGATGGTAAGTGGCTACCAGTCCATGTTCATCGGCAACTAACTTCAAGCAACAAGGTACGTTGCCGTCTCTGAGAACCAAGATGGAATGCCTCACAGTGGGTAATTATAGTGGCTCTCTAAACTCTACAGACCAGGACATAGTAGTGTAAACACTGCAATTTGGCGGCAGAAATGCGTAAGAGGGTGGTACCTACTTAGACGTACCTAGTGAATGTTTATTATTTATTTGAACTTAATTCCTTTTGATCTTATTTCAGGACTCCTAAACCAACACAAACAAAATGGCGGATGATGAAGTGAGGTAAGATCCTAGCTAAAAGTTTTTATATTGATGAAAATTATTTAGATTTTTTTTTAATTTGTTAATTATCTAAAATGTTTCAGAATAGTATTCTAGTCTTGCAATACGAATAATAAAAACCATCCTTTATGGTAAAAAAAACACATGGTTAACTTAAATCTAGTGTGTGCTGTATGGTAGTCGTGTAAGAAAATCTATGATATCACTCTTTTATATGAAATTGTAGTGACAAGCGAATTAGCAGTCTACCTGATGGTAAGTGGGTACTGCAGCGTATGGACTTCTGCAAACTAAGAAAACTACAGATGCGTTATCACTCCTGGAAATTAAGATGTACGGGGTAGAGCGATGCTGCAGCTATGTCACAGTTGTAGCACAAATGGGCGGCTCGACCGGGGAAGGACCACGCTCTCACAGAATACCAGTGTAAAATAGCAGCTTAATGCTGAAGTGTTTTGTATCGTGAGTGTAGAGAACCGGATACCATTTTTTACTGCAAATGAGGTGTTCCATCCTAGTCCTCACGGGTGACAACGCATCTGTATCTTGATTCGTAATCTGGTATTCTGTGAGAGCGTGATCCTTCCCCGGTCGAGCCGACCCACTCGTGCTACAACTATACAACTAATATAGCTGCAGCATGGCTCTACCACGTAAACGTTCTCGTTCGTTCGTTGATTTTTAATAAGTGGTACGACTATTTCATGTTTATTGGATCTAAATCACATAGACGGAGCTAAGTGGCAGCATGAAAACAGTCGGGTGTTGAAAGTGACATTTTTCTCCAAAAACTTATTTTGTACAGGAATTGAACCTACACCATGCATCGACGCGGTACAAACTCTCAACTTGCATTTTACTACCAACGGGTTTATGATGATAACAATGATGATGATGATCATTAATTTATCAAAAGTCCACTGTAGAACAAAGGCCTCTTCCATAGATTGTCTGACATCTTTGGCATAGTTGCCACGCCTGGCGGGCGGGTTGACAACCGCAGTTTTCTTCTTTAATTTCAGTTCTTATTAGGAAGACGCTGCTGCCCATGTCCTAGTTTCTTTCCCTCTGTCGCCACTTACGACCCCCACGGGACGGTATAGGGTAGTGGATATTTAACACCGCCATTACACGGTCTTCTTAGTATGGCCATAGCACGACGGTACTCTAATGCATCTCATAAATTATACTAAGTCACTACACATTAAGCTATCAGTGAATTTCTAGTAAAAATGGCCGTCTTAAATATGATAGATGTATCCTACATATATTTCATATTTGTAATTTAGATGGAAATATTGAAACTCTGCACAAAACTTTATGATATTGTTGATAACCATTGTGTGAGTTTAATTGCTTAATGAATTAGTGCTTCGGGTTCGAATTCCATCTATGCTTCAGATCAACATTAAATATGTTATAAACATAGTCATAAGAGATTTTACGTTATATTTATCTAACAAGATGTATTATTTTTTATTCTGTTTCATTGAACTCTCCAACGCGCTGTTTCTAATGCAATTTGGACTTCCTCGTTCTTTGGATCGATCCTACAACGATAATACATCAGTATTGAGTACAATGTCTCCTCGAGACACGGGTAAATACTAATTTTTACTAATCTACTTACAAAATTTACTTACATGATACACAGATACCTACCAATTATTTTACCATCAAATTAGTAATTCAAAAATTAGTACAACAACTTTGTTCTCAAAAAAGTATTTATTTCGAAAACGCCTATGAATTATTATATTTTATTTACATATCATCATGTACAATATTTCATTATATACAATATTAAAAACTATAATAAACTATATAATTGATGAAATTAATGATAAAAAAAAGATATTTGTATTTCATTCGGAACTAGAGATTCTATTGTCAAAGTCAATAAATAAAAAAGAAAACATTCTTCCATTTCACGTGAAATTTCTGTTACAGCTAGAGTTTTATTACGTTGGTAAACGTATTGTAAGTGAAAACTTTGCAATGTCGTCGTCATCCGGAAAAGATATTGATTTTGTCGAACGTTTTCGTTGTCACAAAGCTTGCTATGACGTTTATTAAACCAAATAATTATGAATGACAAGTTAATAATCACTTAAATTTATTACATAACAAACACTGCAATACACGCGCTTTATATTCAGGAATTGTATAGAATTTGCTTAAAATTAGATTTTTTTTTAAATTTAAGATAGTAACTTCTGTTGGTGTAAACAACGTTTATAGAATTTAAATAAAAAAACATATTTTAGGCAAATCTATATAATTCCAACAGCACAATACTCACACAGCACATTAATAAAATGACAACTGTTTTTTAAATATATCTTTGTTGTAATTACAGTTTTAAAACTTTACTGTGCACATTTGCTATACCTTATTCACTTTTCTTTATAAATATTTGATGTTATTTGATGTTGTTAATATTTAATATGTAAAATAACCAAAGTAAATGTATATTATTAATACAATTAAAGTCTTTCATAAGCTGTGTTCTAATTTTGTTTTATTTCTTTTTCAGAAAAAGCGTCTCGAGGAGGTAAAGAAGTCGAAGAATAGTCTTAATTACTTAATTTTACTTAATTTTATCATTAAATCTCATTTAATTTATTTTTTAGTTATGTATTATATAACTTCAAGTATTTATTGTTTTATACAATATGTTATACAAAATTTGGAATTATGTAATTTTATTGTAATAATAAGATTTGATAGAACTATGTGAGTAATAAAATATTTGAAACTACTAACTTATATAGGGCTTTACGTTAGACGTTAACTAGCATTAAGTTGATTTCCTTCAGGCGAAGAAGGCCAAACAGGCCGAGATCGACCGCAAGCGTGCTGAGGTGCGCAAGCGCATGGAGGAAGCCTCCAAAGCCAAGAAGGCTAAGAAGGGTTTCATGACACCTGAAAGAAAGAAGAAGCTTAGGGTAAGTATATTTTCCATAGTTTTCATTACAATATTTATTTATCGTGATATTTATTTTAAGATAGCAATCAAGGTAAAGATCGAGTACACTTAGAATTAGAAAGTTTTTTTTCACTTTATTTGGGATTACAAATACAATATAATCCTATCAATACTATATTTAAGCTTAATAATAATACAATAAACACCGTTATCCACATATTACTATTGGGCCAGTGTACTAAACAATTAAAATTAAAATTTTTAATGTTCTACGAGTATTAAAGCGACCCGTTCACTAGTAAATACAGAGAAAAACAAATTACACATACATAGCTAATACTAATTATGCTAAACCTTTTTACCGCTCCGTTAGCACATCCAGTTGCAGTATTGTTGTTGAAATCATTTATCGATAGTCTTTCTAGGTAAAATATATAATATACATCACTAGCTAACGCACACAATGACAAATCAAAATTTCTCACTATTTTCCGGGCTCTCAGGTCCTCTCTATACGCCAGTATATACGGGTATTCTAAGTCTATGCATTGAACTAACTTAAATTTGCCAAAGGTGCAGAATAAGTATAATCGACGAAGTTTACGCAACGACGAAATATCAAATAAAATGTTATGAAAATAGTACATTTAGACTCCAAGACTAATTATTATTAGTTTTTTTTTTGATTATTTACCGTTTTTGACTGATATAAAAACCAAGTATGTAAAATTATTAAGCATACCTTTATTTAGAACAAAGTAATGATTTTTTATGGTTTATTAAAATTTTTGATTTCTGTGACAGTTGTTGCTGCGTAAAAAAGCTGCTGAAGAATTAAAGAAGGAACAGGAACGCAAAGCGGCCGAAAGGAGGCGTATCATCGAGGAGAGGTGCGGTAAACCCAAAAACATTGATGACGCAAACGAAGGTAAATCGTCTTTTTGAGAATTATATTGAATGTTACTGAGTACCTTTAAATAAGTTTAAATTATTCTCAAATTTTAAGTTATTCGATATACATTTGTAGATAAATAGATATTATGAAGCAATGCTACGATTTTTCGAAGATCATGACACTGTACAAAGTGACAATTCACAAATTGTGATTGTCAAATACTAATTCATTTAATTGTTATGTATATCGCATTATAGATATTGTTTCGAGGATTTGCAAAGAATACCACAACCGCATCGCCGAACTCGAAGACCAAAAATTCGATCTGGAATACATCGTTAAACGGAAAGATATGGAGGTAGCGAAATGGGCTGCTACCAAAGCGCTCTCTTTTGATGAACTTACAAAACTTACAAAACCTTACTTTCATTTAACTTTGTGATATGCCAAAGTGCCGTTTTTCTCTATTGCGTCTGTTTAACAAGGGATAACGCAGTCCAATGAGTGTTACCGCTGGAATTTATCTCTAGTTTCCGGTCTCTTATATCTTTTAATTTATCTATCCTTATACATTTCTTTGGAACTATCTGTAACGTTGTTGATCTATCGTGCGAGTACTTACCATACTTACTTCTTAAATTTATTAAATTTCTATCAGAAACTTACATCTTTGCTTAATTTTTATACGCTATTTCGTAATCGGCTGTTAGGGATAGGCTGGTACGAACCGTTGTAGTACATTAAGTAACAGACCGAGAGTAATTTTCGTTGATGTTGTAGCTGCTCTTACAACCATCATAACCGGTTACTATCAGCGTATCATGAAGCTTGAAGAAGAAAAGTACGACCACGAGATGGAAGTGGCCCGCAAAAAACTCGAGGTCTGATTTGGTTTGGGCGCTAAGCAATTTATATAATACGCTCTTAGTTTGCAAAACTCATACCGATTATGTGACTAGAACTCGATTTTGATTTCTCAGACGACTCATTCATAATACGAACTAGAATATATATATGTATAATTTCAAGCCTTAACTAATGTGAATAATAAATGTATATTTTGATTGATGAAGTTACTAGTTTATAATTGCAATAATAACAACGTTTCCTTATTTCCAAAACCGGATATTGAAGATAATGCCATCGAGTTTTAATAAATTGAGTCCCATTTAATTATTATCACAGAGCTTCGCTTTTGCTTGTACACAGTTATAAATTCTCGGTTTCGTGTAGCAGCTAACTACCCACATTTGAGGCGGCAAACTATTTACCGATGTTATATTATTCCTAAATTTCATATTGTTTTTCTTTAGCGGAACTGCAGACGATATGTCAAATGTACTGGCAAAGAATATACGAGCTCGAGGGGGATAAATATGAACTAGAACGTGCTAGCGCAATTAAGAAAATGGAGGTAAACTGCATATTAGGATTGGGAATGCATATGACGTGAAATTATTTTAATACTGAGTTAGTTGTTACGACATGACATGATAGTTTTACGGCTCATCGCACACATGCACACGTCGCTCCGTCGACAGACGTAGACCATTCACACAAACGCTCATGATCATTCCGTCGGCTCAATAATCTGTATTTCCTTTTTCTATAGAAATGCTCAAGAGAATAATACAGGAGTATTATGACCGCATGTATTTGTGTGAGGGCCAGAAGTGGGATTTGGAACATGAAGTCAGGAAAAGAGATTTTGAGGTATTGACCGATACTTTATAACCATTGTGAATATCACGATCATCGGTATTGTAATAAACGTGCGCGTGTGACAGTTCGTGTTGATATTTATGATGCTTTACAAGTTTTCGGTTGTTTGCTGAACTGTAAATAACGGTTAAGGCGCGGTCGTTAGTGCTGTACTAGTAGAATAGGTGTGTGCGTGTAATAGGTTGTCGCGTGCGGACCGGCCAGGCACGGTGAGGCGTGCGGTGCAAAATCGATCTCGACTGGCTGCGACGCCTGCGTGTGGCGCTGGCAGCGCATCATTCAACAAGGGACTTACACATTAACTACCTTAACTATAGTAACTCTCATCAGGGTAACATTAACACTTCATTTTTCACCACTGAAGCGCCGCGTTCGAGGCTGTCGGTAGTCACTGCATGCGAGCATAACTTATTCAACTTTTGTATGTTCTTCCATTTTATCGTTCACGCATTTGCTGTATTGTATGTATTGATAATAATCGGGACTATAATATTTTTTGCCTAACCGAATACAGTTATTGCATGAACTGATTATAACAATTTAGTTTAAACTCCCTCTTAATGCCCTTGAAATAGTATGGCACTTTAATATCCGAATGTAGAGGTAGAAAAAAGATTCGGATACCGACGTTCGCTGCGTTGAGCCGTGTGACGCTTTTGTATGTTTCTGATTTTAATATGGCCTTACTGACTTTTCTTTATTTTTTAATTATAACAACAGCAGTAACAATTTTAACGGTAGATTAGTACCTCAAATGGCACACGCAAGTGCACAGTAAACGTGAAACTTCTTGTTCCAAATCTCAGACTTTTCAGATCCGTTATTTACGACGCAATCTGTCTGCGTGTTCGGTTACTAAGATACACCCCGAAACCTTTACTTTAGTACCTGTATCAGTGGACTTTGAGTGTATTATAATAAAAGTGCCATGCTCGGGTCGATGTTGCCCGTTCCTATCCCTGACGCGTCCGAGGTGGTGGCGCTAGTGCGCTCCTATACATCGCACCAAATCGGACACAGAGCGTGTACACAGCGTGCTCACCTATATTCAAACACACAACATCACTCACATAACGTACGTAATCATATACGTGATCGATTTTGCACCGTGACACTTTTACACATTTTTGCGACATTATGAGCAACAAAATTGGGGGTCGACATGTAGTCATTTTGCGTAAAGAAAAATATGTGTTTAAGTAAAATAGATTTAGCGCACAATATATTACAACTTTGGTAGTTGGAGAATGAATGAATACATAATGACGTTTTAAAACATAAAAACCGTTTTTCCCAAGTAAAGATATATGCATATCTAAATCTTATGTATAAATGTGTATAATATTCGTACTTGTATATACAAAAAAAATTTGATGTTAAGTATGTGCTGGGAAAAACCGATTATTGGATCTCTTGTTAAAATATCAAGGGTGTCCAACGTTTAAGGAGTAACATATTGTTGGCGCTCAATTTTTAATGCACATGTAAATTTTTGCACATAGTATATACAGTTTTGCGAATTCAAATGTACAGGTGCTGCACGCGGCCAGCTACCGATAAAAATGTATGTAGTTAGACTGCACGAACAAACAAAACATAAATTCTAAAATCATATAAGTAGTGATTAGATATTTTGAATTAAGTACTATGTAAACAAAGAGCAGATACTATGTCAAAGGCAATAAAGTCTAGGACGTGGAATCTTTTTATTTTTGTATCTACTAGCTCTCTCTCAGCCTTAAGAAATCTAAACTACTTTTGTAACGCGCTAATAACACTGCCTAATCTACGCTCAGTTCTATAATTTTTCTATTAAATTAATCACTATTTTGATGATATTTTTCTATTAACATTTCACACTGATGTGTACAACATTCTATGCACTTTTTCTTTCTAGCTTTAATTGTTTTTCTAGATATTTTAATCTTTTTTTGGAGTGCATGTTTTACATTAACTTTTTTTCAAATTTTCATTTGTATAGCATTCTGGAATTTAAAATTGTTTTCATTTTTTTCTACCTTTAGTTAATTTACATATAATAGTTCCCTTTGTGTCCATATAAATTACAATACATTTATTAGTAAAATGTTTTTAAATGGTACTCATCTTTTTTCCAGTTTCCCATTCTGTTTAGATTGTTGTTTTTTCTTTGTGTTTGATATGCAAGCAATATATAAATATATTAATTTTATTTACATTACTAGATCGCCGACCTCAACTCTCAAGTCAACGACCTCAGAGGCAAATTGTAAGTGTTGATCTAGTTTGTATTTTTCTTTAAGAATTTTATAAATTTATTAATAACATGTATATTTTCTAAACATAGCGTCAAACCTACACTAAAGAAGGTGTCTAAATACGAGAACAAATTCGCCAAGCTCCAGAAGAAGGCAGCCGAATTCAACTTCCGTAACCAGTTGAAGGTTGTCAAAAAGAAGGAGTTCACCCTTGAAGAAGAAGACAAAGAGGTAAATAGAGTTTGTCTTATTAATACCTAGGTTTCAGAAATATATATTTTTGCAAATAGTTTAATATTATAACTATAATATAACCATTTCTATTTTTTCTTTTATATGTATCTTTAATCCACATATTTCTATCGTTAACGATAACTTTTATATAAAGAATACTCCAATCTCTAAATAAACTCTTTTACTTTTACTATTTTAATATATTTGTCAATAACTAAGAAAAATAGTAATAGTCAAAATTTATCAACCTGCGATTTCTTTTTCTTTCGTAAGAAAACTGACAACTAAAGAAAATGTCACTATCATGTAAATTACTTACGTGCTAAAGAATGACAGAACAAACTAGTGCTAAGTAATAAAGTCTTTACATTACACGTCACTTATTATATAACAAGAAATATATGTACAATCGTCGTTTACTCATATTTCAACAGGCAAAGAAAGCAGAGAAGGCTGATTGGGCAATCGGCAAGAAGTAACCAATTTTAAAACCGAACGTATTCTCAACACCACTCGAATTTGTGATGTCTAATTTATAATTTATCCGTAAATTTTCTAATAAATTAATTTATAATTTTAATTTAATAATTATTTAGTTTCCTAAAAATCCAAAGAAGTTCAAAATGAGGTGAGAATAAGCTTCTTGAAAGCACTGGATGTCGCTTCATTACCTACATTATACATATTGCTTTGGAAAAACGATTATAACATTTTCCCCATCTTGAAGCGTATATTTTGGTTTTTGATATTTTGAGGATCGAGTTTATTTTAATCCTATTTACTTCCCCGTTAAGCTTTGCAAATCTTATTAAATTTTTAGCTTAATAATTAAGTAAATTCGTAGGTGTGTTACATGTACATATATCATGAAAATTGTGACTAACAATATATATATATATATATGATTCTATATGGCGTACATCGTTACAACATTAATGAAATTTAGTGTTCCCAACTAATGATTTAACTGACCCGCCCTTTCGGTTTTATAAGGATCTTGGTGTCGAATCATTCATAGAAGAAAATTTCTGTGATACGAAGCCTACAGTAAACTTTTTGAGTTGCATAATTTTTGTAATGACTTTATTACATTTCTGTATATTATAGTAAATCTTACTTAAGAAAATTGTTCACTGCTGAACACATTTGACTGATAACTTTATATAGTGTCTTTACATTAGAATTTAGATCTATTTTACCATTGTTAAAAATGTTCATGCGATATTTCGCAGGCTGGCGGTGCAGGCAAGGTAAATAATGGAACAATAGATGAACACGTTAGAGACGTGTTTAGATTTGTTGTTTACAATGGCATGTTGTTAATTATTTTTAGCACAGTTTGGCATCGAACCATTCATAGAATGGCGATTAGCTCTGTTCAATTTATAGACGGAGATCGGTACGGGCTAGAGTACCGAAATAAATCTACTTAGTGACCGCATATTTTTCTCTCAATCGCTCTGTCTGCTTGTTTCGTTCTATTTTCTACCGACTTCAAAAAGGAGGAGGTACTCAATTCGACTGTATATTTCTTTTTATGTGTGTTACCTCATAACTTTTTTCTGAGTGAACGGATTTCGATGATTCTTTTTCTACCGACTTCCAAAAGGAGGAGGTACTCAATTCGACTGTATGTGTTTTTTTACGTGTGTTACCTCATAACTTTTTTCTGGCTGAACCGATTTCGATGATTCTTTTTTTATTTGAAAGCTAACGCTTCTTATGTGGTCCCATATAAATTTGATCAAGGTCTGATCAATAGTTTTTTGAGTTGTTCTTAACAATTTATATTGAATTTGGTTGTACAACATTTTTAATTTTAAATTATTTATCTGAAGACTGGTGATTCTAATGTTGTCCCATATAAATTTGATCAAGATCTGAACAGAAGTTTTTGAGCTATCCTTAATAATGTGAATTTAATTGACTTCGGACTACACTGACGAATGCTCAGATTTTATTTATATTGATGTCGGTTGTACAACATTTTTAATTTTACCAATTGTCGAGAGTTCGAGATTTTAAAACTATTTTGTTTATTTTTAAATTAAAGATTAGTAGGGTTGTGCACTCTGTAAATATTCTTTCCAATGTTAGTATTTCATCGTGTAGTATTGGTTATTACATAATTAATAAATATTTATCACATAAACTGTTGACATTAATTTTTGACATAAAAACAGCACTTAGCTTAGAACCAGACTATGCTTCACTGCAAAATATGAACATGTGTACAAAAACTGCTTCAAGGTGTGCAGCGCTTATAGAATTTTGGTTTGCGACTTAGTTTTAATGTTGCAATTTGTACACTATGTGGCTTTGAGCACATCTGTTAAGACTGTTAAGTTAACGTAGTGTACAAAATTCGAGTTTCATTATAAGGTTCAGAATAATATCGCAGTCGAAGTAATGAATTATAAATCATTGTGTATTTCACACATTTTTATCATAATTTTATTATTTATTATAAATTACTGGATTTGTATATAAATTTGCCTTTCAATTACAATGAAAATATATTTATAACTTTGACTGCGTGTATGTTAAGTATAAATTAGCTACGGGTTACGTAAAATTGCGTGAATGGAACCCTGTAGCATATTATTTATCAAGCAAAAATGAACCATGTATATTATACGTAGGCGGTATATTTCTGCTCTCAATCAATAATATGCTGTACAGGGTTTGAAAGTGATTTGTCTTGTCCATCTCTTGTCATGTCAATGCAAAATAATACATAGTAAACAATACTTTATTTATTTAATTTCTGTTTATTTTTATCCACAAATATCTATTGATGGATGTTTAATTGACGGAATAAAAATTTAACAACGTTTTTAATGGCTTACAGGAATATGTTCTCTCAGTAAATTGAGAAGTCGCTGAAAACATTAAACGTTAAATGAAACTAATTTTCACGGTAAAATTTTTAAATTGGAAAAAAGACAAATCGCTGTCAATTATCATAAAATATGTAGCGGTTATACTAATATAATGTTTTTCCTACAGAAAAAGCCAGATTGGTCCAAGGGCAAGCCAGGAGATCAGAAGGTAAAAGAAGAAGAGGTTGAGGCATGAAGTGTTAATCACCCCCCACCACAAACTATAATGTGACCTTGATGTATATCAGTTGACCAGTTAAGCCGTAGATTTTAGAAAAATGTGATATAACTATCCATACACACGGCTCCATCAGACCTAAAATCTATTGCCCAAAACAGCCCTTGGCAAATTCTTCCATCATTTGAATGTTTATGGCATATACACAATTTCATTAATGTCAAGTCCATTTTTGTATTTATTTATTTATAAAAATATTTTTTGTAAGTTAATAATACGTTTAATAAAATTACTTTGCTGTATTATATTAATATGTGGTTGTGATGTCATTTTTGTTACCCCTACCATTGGAATCCTTAGTGTATTCAATCCTTTTATGAGCACTTTTCTCTAAGTCTGTGTGTATGTGCGTCACTTTAAAAGCATGTTGTAGTTGAATTTAAAATTATTCATTATATAATTAAGGTTATATAATTATATATATATAGTACGTTTGCAATACTTCTTTTCCAATTAGACGTGGTAATGCCATGGTTGTAGCACGAATGGATCGGCTTGACCGGGGAAGGATAACGCAATCACAATAGCAGCGTAAAATAGCAGCTCAATGGTTCTGTGTTTCGTATGGTGAGTGTAGAGTACCGGATATCCTTTTTATTGGATTCAAAGCATTCAAAGTATCTTAGTCCTCAGGGGTGACAACGCATCTGCATTTTGGTTCTTAATCGAGAATAGATATTGATGTCTATGGGACACATCATCCACTTACCATCAGGTGGGCTGTGGACTCACGACCTTTATTCTAAAAAAATGATTAAGTTCACATAGTGTAAACGTTTGCAACAAGATAATTTAAGAAATGTGGAATAGTAAGCAAGAAATTAATATTAAGAGCATGATCTAGAATAATATTGTTTATTTTTTGTCAAATACTTTTAGGATGAAATTTAGGGTATTAAATTAAAAAGGCGCTTAAAACAATTTAATTTCTTAAAAAAAATTTGATTTTCAGCATACTGAATTTTGAAGCAGTATTATGTTGTATGTGACATACGAAATATAAATAGGATGCAATAAACATGACGAGGTTATTTATGAAAATTTATCAAGAAGTCATAAAAATATAATCCTTTTTCGTTATCGATTAAAATACAACATGTAACAAAAACGTAAGTTAAGTAACTTTTATACGTGGTAGAGTCATGCTGCAGTTATATTAGTAGTATAGTTGTAGCACGAATGGGTCGGCTCGACCGGGGAAGGACCACGCTCTCACAGAATATCAGCCTTAAAATAGCAGCTTAACGCTGGTGTGTTCCGTATGGTGAGTGTAGAGAACCGGATACCCTTTTCACTGGAACCGAGGTATTCCATCTTAGTCCTCACGGGTGACGACGCATCTGCATTTTGGTTTGTAATCGAGGATAGATGTAGATGTATATGGGCTACAGCAACCACTTACCATTAGGTGGACTATAAAAAAGTGCGTTATCAGAATGTGTAGTCAAACGAATCGAAATAACTTTATTTCAGAAGATTAGACTATAAATTTCAATATAATTAGAAAAAAATTGTGTGTGTACTTATGTACGCACGTAGGAAGTTATACTTTTTTAGTGTAACAAAACAAAAAACTTGAGAGACAATTACCCACTGAAGTTGTCACTTTTAGGTGTGAGTGTGCGCGCGCATCGTAACAACGTCATGGTATCTTTTTTAGGTGTCGGTGTGCGCACGCATCGTAAAAATTCACTCTCATCATTTTTCCCAACGCCCCAAAAGAAGTATAACTTCAAACTTCTTTGCGAATTGTATGATGTGGTTTTATTAGCTCTACGTAGACCAGGGAGTAAGAGTTGCCATTAAAATTGTCAAAAACCCTCCTTTACCAATGCGCGTGTCAGTTAGAGGTAATAAAACCACGTTCAATTTGCAAATAAAAAGAATTCTGTTTTTGTTTAATTTTTTATGGTCTAATTTTCTGAAGCAAAGTTACTTCCATACAGGAACTACAGGATTTTTGTTACATGTTCTATATATTTCTCGTATTGTAGTTAGAAACTAATGCCCGTATTCACATACATAATTTTCTTAAGCATAGCAGCAATGTTAAGAAAAGTAAGATGTTTTTCTGTGGCTTCGGCATGGCACGCCACTCATTTCATAAACTATACTAAAGGATTTCATGAACTACACTAAATGATAATAATGGCATATATCCCCCCTATGATGCAGTAGTGAACTTTAATAGGCTCTAACGGTAACGTAACCTATGTCTAAGCATAGCGATTTATAATAATAATCTATGCGAAGTGACTAAGTAGTATATATTCTGTGGTTATGTTAGAATATAGCGACTTTCAAAATCATCGGCTCTGTTATAATCGAAATTATTTTATTGTATTAATCTTGATCGTTCTTTGTAGGATTTTTCTCCTAAAGATATAATTGTCATATTTGCAACTGTAATCCAAAACAAAGTTTACAAACAAAACAAATTAGAAAAAAATATCAATCAAAATTCAACTCAGATCACACTCATAGACTAGCATCTTGCGTGGCCACTTCAGTGTTTTGCTTTATACATTGAGTGTTGCCATCAAAAAAAACTATTATTTCCATAACATTAGGGATTTTTTATATATTAATTCATTACAGCCTAACAAAATCCAATGTATATGTTATGTGGGCCTCCTCAATGATTTGCCTCGTCAGAAGGATATTTGTCAAATTTCCCAAGCTAAGCACACGATTTAGCAATCTTAGCTTTTTTATTTTCTACTTATTACTAAGAAGATCCAGCTGCCCATCTCCTGTTTTCTTTCTCTACCCACTCGACGATGTGGGGTAGTAGATATTCTTACACCGTAAGATTTCAAATTTTGACGGTAGGTTGGCATATAAGTGGACACGAAGATAAGGACAAAAATGACTATACATCTTTTTCTAACAATACCGTTACCATTCTAGGTATAATAGGTCTGTGGAGGCCATAGACCAACAAGGGCCGCCAACTCCGCCGGTGGCCTGTGTTGCTTTATGGTGGAAGCAATCATTATGTTGATTTGCCGCACTATGCGTATAGTAAATTAGCTAGCGAGTTACTTTAACTGTAACTTCATTATAATGAAGGCATAGTGTCGCTCGTCCCTCAAATATTGTTTATGATTAATTTTTATGTATCCTGTGCGTTCAAGCGCACTGTGAGGTTTCATAGTAATGTCTGTAAAAACGGATGTAAAAGTCTATAAAATAGATATCAGCACCTTTCGTTTTATTAGTAATGTTGGTATTAAAGGATCATCTAACTACCCAAAAAGAAACATTGGCTGCAGGCCTAAGCGCACACCAACCGAACCTCGTTCTTTAATTACAAAATATCAAAAGTCCACTGCCAAATATAGGCTTTACTCATAGTTTGTATCATAGGAGGGAATTTGACATAATTGCCATTCTTGACCGGCAGGTTGGCGCAATTTTTTTATTATTTTCGGTCATTATCAGGAAGATATTGCTGTCCATCCCCTGATACAGTTTCCTTTTGTCGCCTTTAACGATATCCACGGGATAATATGTGGCAGTGGATATTCACTACATCATCATCATCATCACCATCACCATTACAGCCTTTCATAAGTCCACTGCTGAACATAGGCATCCCCCAAGGAATGCCACAAAGCACGGTCCTGAGCCACCTGCATCCATCGACTTCCTGCATGTCTTACCAGTTCGTCACTCCATCTCGTGGGGGGTCGCCCTACACTTCGCCTACCGGTACGAGGCTGCCACTCGAGAACCTTTCTTCCCCATCGGTTGTCGGTTCTTCGAGTTATATGGCCGGCCCACTGCCACTTCAGCTTACTAATCCGTTGGGATATGTCGGTTACTCTGGTTCTACTGCGGATATCCTCATTCCTAAGTTTATCACGCAGAGAAACTCCGAGCATAGCCCTCTCCATAGCTCGCTGAGCGACCTTGAGCTTCCTCATACGGCCAGCAGTGGAGGACCACTTCTCAGATCCGTAAGTCATCACTGGCAAAACGCACTGGTTGTACAATTTCGTTTTAAGGTTTTGAGGTATGTCTGACGAGAAGATGTGTCGTAGCTTCCCGAACGCTGCCCAGCCGAGTTGAATCCGTCGATTGACTTCTCGTCGAGGTTGGACTTACCTAGTCGGACTATTTGTCTCAGGTAAACATACTCGTCAACAACTTCGAGCTTAGTGCTCCCAACAACTACCGGCATAGGTGTGACATGAACATTAAACATAATCTTTGTTTTGTCCATGTTCATCTTAAGATCTATCCGTTGGGAGACACTATTGAGGTCATTGAGCATAGTGCTTAGGTCCTCCAGCGATTCTGCCATAAGGACTATATCGTCGGCAAATCGAAGGTGAGTGATGTACTCGCCATTGATGTTAATACCGTATCCTTTCCAGCCCAGAAGCTTGAAAACGTCTTCCAACGCAGCGGTGAAGAGTTTCGGGGATATAAGATCACACTGTCTTACACCTTTCTGCAATTGGATAGGTTTGGTACTCTAGTTCTGTACTCGTATAGCCATCGTAGTTCTACTGTACAAACACTTCAACACCTCGATATACCGACAGTCAACTTGGCACCGCTGAAGGGACTGCAGCACCGCCCAAATTTCGACGGAATCAAAGGCTTTCTCATAGTCTACATACGCCAGATATAGTGCCAAATTGTACTCTTCGAACTTCTGTACAATTTGCCGAAGGGTATGTATGTGGTATATGGTGCTAAAGCCCTTTCGGAAACTGGCTTGTTCGGGAGGCTGGAAGTCGTCAAGTCTGCGCGCGAGACGATTCGTAATGACTCTCGAAAACAGCACGTAGACGCGGCTCAGAAGGGAAATCGGTCTGTAGTTCTTCAAGAGAGCGTTGTCACCTTTCTTGAAGAACAAGACCACCGCACTTCTGCTCCACGCCTCCGGTGTTATGCCACCATGGAGGACGGAATTAAAG